CAAACATACATTCAGACAGATTGTTTGCCAAATGTGCCTTTTTTGGCAACAAACCAATGAACCATGAGGGATGTAGATGCTTTTATATCTGGGGTTTGGTCCAGATTAGATGAAAATCTTGAAAATGCACCCAACTTGGAAACGCCAAGAAATTCCTCTGCAGAAGCATTTTGCTGGGAAAATGGAAAATTGTTTTGATAGAGTCAAAATGTAGTATTATAAGTTCACAATTTATGTACAAGTCAAAATGAGTAATTTACCTTTAACTATTTTTAAATACCTAAAATGTCTAAAAAGGCTTTTTTTTTTTTTTTTTTTTTTGACATGTTTGTCAAGTATCGTCAAACTCAGCGTGGTTGTGAATGGGGAGATGTTCCCAGCAGCTGCAGCTGCCTGTGTCAGCGGGAGAGCCGTGACCAGGATGGCTGTGGGGGACAAAACTGGGAACAAAAAGGCCATCCATCCATCCATCCATCCATCCATCCATCCATCCATCCATGCAGGCAGCCTGTGCAGGGCTCTGCTCTGGGCAAGCAGCATTTCCCTGCCCTGTCACCAAAGTGGTGTAATTGAGAGGGTAGTTTTATTTTTTTCCTGTTCAGACAATAGTTCTGACACCCTCTGCTTGTGTTTGTTTTTGAGAAAGGGGCCTGAAATGAACTAGAAAGGGGAATGAGGGGGTTTGTAGCAGGAGAGCACAGTTGATGCACTCACCTGTATCAGCAGGAGCTGGTTTAGTCTGACAGTGCATTGTTTATTTTGAGCAGGTTCTAGGAGCTGTTTGCAGCTCTTTCCCCATCTCTTGATGAGCCTACACAGTAAATTATCTGTAGTCATTAGCAAGTGGGCTGCTTCCTCCTCAGACACAATTAGTGGGCAGGGTCCGGAAAAATCTTCCTCAATCTCATTTCCTTCACAGGATGCACTTGAGAGCCCGGTGCTGCCTCTGAGGAGGCAGGGCATGGCTGCTGCCTAGAGCGACCTTCCCTGTTCCTCAGGATGGGAGCATCCTCCCTCCCTCCTTCCCTCCCTCCCTCCCTCTGATGGTCCCCGGGGACTGCCCGGGGTGGGCAAGGTGAACCCTCAGCCTTCGGGTCAGTGAGGCTGAACCAGCGGCAGGAACATGCAAAGGCTCGAGGAGAAACTGATTTCGAGTTTATTCATATCAGCACAGACCTTGCCCTGCCTGCAGGCCCCATCCTTACATGGTAATTCAGGGAGTCACAAATCGTGTAAGCAATGAACAGCAGCTCCCTGTGCCCGGCCTGGGCTGAGAGCAGGGCACCTGGCTGTGGTTCAGCGGCTCCCTGGAGCACAGCCCGTGCCAGGGAGCGATGCCATCGCCTTGGTGGCTCTGCCACAGCTGCCCCGAAGTCCCGAGCGCGGGTGCTTGTGCCCATCGCCTCCTCTTGGCCCACGCTGCCGGGTGGGAAAAAGCCCTGGTGGAGCAGCAGCTCTCGAGGGGGCTAAGGGCCAAGTGAGGGGGAGCTTTGGATTTACACTCGGGAAAACTGGAATAAATCAAAGCAATTAAAGTGCAAATGAAGCTTTAAGCAATGCGGCATCCTAATTACCTGGGAAGCGCGTTGTGTATACTTCTGTCTCACTCCCTTTTTTAAAGTAGACAGGATCCAAATTACATAAATAATTTAAATCAATTTGCCAGGTAGGGCTGGGCTTTGGGAAGTGCCTGCTGGCATTGATGAGGATGTTCTGCCGGTGGCTCCGGGCTGGATGCCGCTGCTGGCTCCCCGCACTGGGACACCAGGATCCGGGGTGCCAGCTGCTGTGCCGGGAGGGGCTGGGCAGAGCCAGGAGAGAGGGGCACTGCGATGGGCACCGGAAAGGGCAGAGCTAGCTGGAATTAACCACCGCAACGAGCCGCCAGCATCGCAGGCAGAAGCGCAGTTCAGTTCTCTTCCAGACTGCCTGGGCTGGTGGTGGAGCAAGGCTGTGACCGCACCTCCTTGGGTGACCACGAGTGCTTTATAGCACCCGGGAGAGGCGGGGAAAGGAGATGCAAGACCAAGAAATAACTTCTCAGACAAAGCAGAGGCACTGGAGGAAGAGGGCAAGGGCTGGCTGCACCAATGCAGTGCCAGAGGAAGCAGGGCAGCGGTGAGAGTGCAAACCCTGCCCTTCAGCCGGGTTTGGACTCATCTGCAGTCTCATCTCACTGGACTCATCCCTGAGTCTCTCCAGGAAATCAGCAGCCCCCTCCATTCCCACTGAAGCCTCCCTCTCCCATCCTGCAGGGAAGCTGGGAAAGGAGAGGCTGGGCTGGGAAATGGGGTGTCCCCAAGCACACCCCAGAGAAGGAAAGGGGACAGGTCCCATTCCTGTTCCCTGCTGCTAGCCTTCACTGGTGGGGCTGGATGCTGGCCTTGGGCTGTGTCTTGTCAGCTGGTGACACATTGAGCATCACTGAGGTCATTTGCTCACTCCAGTGCAATGGAGCCATTTGAGTAGGGTAGAAATAGAGGAGAATAAGCAATTAGGGATTGAATTTTGTCCTGGTAAGGAGGCCCGTAGTTGCCAAGACTGAAGCATCGCTTCATCACCTGCTTGTGGGAGTCCTGGCACCGAGAGGGATGCCAAAGCTGTTAGATCCCTTCTCCAGGAAGCTGCCAGCCTGGCTCACTGACATCCGTAATGCTCCAAGCTCATTATGCTCAGGTGCTGCCTTTTATTTACAAGAATTCCTGCAGGAAGAAAGTTTTGTGAATACTCATCTGAACAAATATTTGCCTCAGATGAGCTCTTGTGGCTGTCTGATGTGGTTATTGTCTTGTTTACTCAGCACAGTTCTCAGGTAGTTTCTGAATGTACTGTCCAATACAGTAATTTAAAAGTTACAAAATAATCGTTGTTTAAAAATGACCTGCTTTTCTCTAATTGTCCTCCAAGGAGAGTTTTTTGTGCCCCCTCCCCGGCAGGCCAGTCAGGCATCACGCCAAGCTCTGCCCCATGGATCTGCAAAGGACTCTGTATTTTCCATACAGCACCAGGGCTGCGAGGGGTGGGGAAAACACCAGCTCTTGGAAAATCGGGAGAAGAGCTTGCACTGCAGCAAGTGCTTGGAAACAATTTGGAAAAGGCAAGAGGGTGCTCACCCTTGGGTAGTGCTTGATTTGACAGGGGAGGAAGCAGCGCCAGAGTCCTGTGACTCCCCTCTGAAAGGTGACCACCCCAAATGTTTTGTCAATCCCAGCCCGGGCTGCCGTGAGCCCTTCAGGAGCAGACACCGGGGAAGGATCTGCCAGTTGAGTGTAATTTTTTTTGCTGAAAACGATTTGTTCAGCACCGGTGGTTAAAGACCTGTTGGCTGCCATTGTAAACGCTGTGAATTATCACCTTTTGGTGCCCTGGGTGTTCACCAGGAGGCAGGAAAGGGTTTTCTGTCTGGTTTCATGTAGGCGTGAGGAGAGAGCTGTGCCTTCCCCCAGCTCCCCAGACCACAGCAGGAGCTCACAGGGCACAGGGACAGGATTTACAAGCATGCTGCTTCTGAACCCTACAGTGCTGTGATGCAACCCACTGCCCTTTAAATAACTGCTGTCTTTTGAAGGCATAAATACTTACAGGGTGAAAGAAAAAAAAGCCACCATTCCCTCCTGAAAGACCTAATTTATATGGAATTGTCTCTCCTTGGCTATAAATCCTCTGTAAAACTTGGCACGAGTTTTAAGGCAGTTACAGCAATGACCGTATATTTTTATCCGAAACCTCTAGAAAGAACAAATGAAGCCCCAGACAGCAGCTCTGAGTTGTTGCAGAGAGCCATGCTGGCGAGTGGGGCTGCAGGGACTGCCTTGCCTGGGAAGCACCATGCAGCAGTTCTCATGAATTCCCACCACATCTTTTTGGTTTCTTTCTGAGCAATTCCTGCTTGAGAAATTATTTTAACATGCCAGTTTTCCTTGCTGGCAGCAGACTCAGAAGAGCATCCCGAGGGTCCTGGCTGGAGCAGCAGCTTTAAGTCCCTTGCTAAGCATCACATCCTTTGGAAACCAGGGCACAGGTACATGCATCCCTGCTGTCCACCTACTCAGGCACAAGGCAGGGCTGGCTCTGACTCATCTGGCTTCCCACTTTCTTCTTCTTTGTTCTTCTTGTCTCCCTGAAGCAGGAGAGAATCTAGCTTTTATTTAAATGAGGCCCTATAAGCATAAGCAGCTGCAAAGTAGGGCAAGCTTTTAATGGCTTACACCTCCTTGGGTTGGCTGCTTCCCTTCAGCCTCTGTGGCTGTGATCATGGTCTATCTCCAGGTGAGCAGTTCAATGACATTCTTGCGTGCACTGGGGCCTACCTGTTCATTTCTGGGAGTGCATTCCGTGCGCAGAAAAGATTAACAAATTAATTAGGCAAGCACAGCATGACAAGAAGGACCTGTGTCCACGAGCAGCTGAACCAGTCCAGAGAGCTGCTGGGACATCATGACACCCTGGGGACAGCTTTGCCCTGTCCCCCGTGTGCCAGCCCTGACCTCACCCCTGCTCGAGGGGGGATGTGCCCCACACCCTGGGGGCTGCTCAGTAACTGGTAGAATCCCATGGCTGTAGTTATGCAGAACTGTCCAGGCTGGGATCTCTGCAGTAACTTGTGGGTCTGTGTCCCTGTTAGAGCAGAGATACCTGGAGCTGGGAATGCTGTGAACCTGTGTGTCCCCACCAGGTTTGTGGTTTTGGGCTGGTGCTGCTGGAACAGAAGAAGCACACAAGGCGTGAGCTTGCTGAGGAGTTCTGGACAGGCAGTGCCCGTGGAAGGGCAGCAGGCTGCGTTCCCCTGCAGGACAGCCCGTGCTGTGTTTGTGCTCAGTGAAATCTGTTCTGCACCCTCACACACAGGCCGTGTGGTGGGTGCCCCAGTGGTGGGACGGTGCCTGTGGGAGCCCAGCTCCCGCTGTGGTGTGCTGGGAGCTGCGGGGGCTGTCATGGCCACCGTTCCATGGTCAGCTCACAGAGGGACCCTAACGCTTCCTCTTTGCTATCTTTTGCAGGAATGGAGGGATGCAGGTACAGCTGGGAGCGGCAGGACACCAGCACAGCCCTGTGGGGATAGGCGTGAAGGTGATTCCCTGTGAGGACGCAGCAGGAGCCCCCCCAGACCCCAGAGGAACGTGGGATCTCACTGGGAACCAGGAGAACTCCCCTGCTGCCCCATCACCCGCCGTGTTTCCAGGGATCTATACCAGGATTTGAGGCTTGGAGCCTGAAGGCGTGTTAATACCATAGGATTGCTGCAGAGCCTGACAGTGATGGGGGACCCACCATCGAGGAGGGACATTCCTCCAGGAGGCCCTGCACAGCCGTGAGCCCTGGCTGCTGGTGGTGCAGGGTGCCTGGGGCTGGGCTGCTCAGCCAGCCCTGGGCTGGGGGCAGAGCCACGGTGCCTGCAGGGCACAGCCACTGAGGGGCGAAGGGCTGGCGTGGGGTCTGCAGGGGCAGCCCCGAGCCCTGGGACAGTGGGGCTGCCGGCCGAGCCACTGCTCCTCCAGGCACCTCTTCCTGGGGTGGCAGCGGGGGACAGAGCGGCGCTCGGTCCCTGGGCTGGCCGCGGATGTGCCCCCGCGCAGCGCCGGCGGGATCGCTCCCCTAGTGCCGGCGCCGAGGGACGCAGGGCCGCCCGCCTCACCATGGTGCTGCCGCCGCCTGACAAGCGCCACGTCTGCCTGACCACCATCGTCATCATGACCAGCATGGCCTTCATGGATGCCTATCTGGTGGAGCAGAACCAGGGACCCCGCAAGATTGGCGTCTGCATCATCGTGCTGGTGGGGGACATCTGCTTCCTGATTGTGCTGCGCTACGTGGCCGTGTGGGTGGGTGCCGAGGTGAAGACGGCCAAGCGGGGCTATGCCATGATCCTGTGGTTCCTCTACATCTTTGTGCTGGAGATCAAGCTGTACTTCATCTTTCAGAATTACAAAGCAGACAAGAAGAACCTGGAGACGGTGGCCAGGAAAGCTCTGACCCTACTGCTCTCCATCTGCGTGCCAGGGCTCTACCTGGTGCTGGTGGCCTTGGACAGCATGGAGTACATACGGACCTTTCGGAAGAAAGAGGACTTGCGGGGACGCCTATTCTGGGTGGCCCTTGACCTGCTGGATATCTTGGACATCCAGGCCAACCTGTGGGAGCCACACAGGACCGGCCTGCCCATCTGGGCAGAGGGGCTCATGTTCTTCTACTGCTACATACTCCTCCTGATCCTGCCTTGCGTGTCCCTCAGTGAGATCAGCATGCAAGGGGAGCACATTGCCCCACAAAAAATGATGCTCTACCCCGTCCTCAGCCTGGTCACCATCAACATCGTCACCATCTTCATCCGGGCCATCAACATGATCTTGTTCCAGGACAGCAGGGTCTCCACCATCTTTATCGGCAAGAACATCATTGCGATCGCCACCAAGGCCTGCACCTTCCTGGAGTACAAGCGGCAGGTGAAGGAGTTCCCACAGAATGCCATCGCCCTGGAGCTCCAGCAGAACTCCCTCTCACACAACCAGACCATCCACAGCACACAGGGCATCCCCCATGAGCCGTCGCCCACCAGCGAGATCCTGGACACATGAGGGGTCCCCCAGTGCAGTGTTGGTTCAGATGGCCCCGTGCCGAGTGGAAGAGGGATGATGCTGCTTTCCTGCTGCCCGGTGCAAGCACGACAGGCAAATCCCGGCAGTGAGGGCTCTTCTAGGCACAAAAACACCAACAGTATTCTAATTGAGCTATGGAGTGTCCTCTAGACGTCTTCATCTCAGGTATAACCCTAGGAGTCCTCCAGACAAACCAAATGGACTTGCAAAGGACCTGAACCAGCTGACCCTCTCTCCCCCTCCTGCCACCATCTCCCCTCCCAAGCAAAGACTGCTAAGGTTGCAATGTCCCTTTTTACTCCCCGAGCACCTCACCTTTACTCCAAGCCTGGATCGAAGATTTTGTTACTGGAGACCTTTTTATGGAGCGGGGACAAGGGCATAGGGGTGCGGACTGGGGGGGAGGGTGGGGGGTTTGAAGCAGTAAACCCTGTGATCATAGATGTCTCTTATCTCCAATGATTGTGTTTACAGTTTCCTATTTATATCGGCTCCGTGGGCCAGTGTCCTCGAGGTGGGTGAGAGCAGGGACCCCTGCAGTGGGGAGGGGGCTGGGGCCAGCGTGGCTGCCCTGGCCCAGGCTGAGGAGGACTGAGCCTCCACCAGCGCCCTGCACCAACTCTGCCGGGAGCAATATCTGACGAGCTAAAGCTAATCTAATGCTGGTGTTTTATGTATTTCATTCACTCCAAACGACTCAGCACAATATTTCTATTTTTAGAAGGGTCCCTCTCTCTTTCTCTCCCTGCCAATGAGAGCCTCTCTGCCTGCAGCAGCCCGAGCAGCCTCCCCAGCCCCGGCACTGCTGCTGGCAGACAGGGGCACCCAGGAGGGGTTAGGAACGAGGATGCCAATGATGCATTTCACTCTGGCATCAAGCATTTATAAAGAGGGCTGCTTTCCACAGCTACTATATTTTTAAAATAAATATTAAAAAAGAAGAAAAAAAAAAACCAAACAAAAAAACCCACCAAACCCCAAAAAAGAGCTGGGAAGAATGTGCTGCCCCAGGCAGGTGGCTGGGCTTGGGGATGAGCAGGGCTGGGGTTTCTCTGCAGCCGTGGGTGGTGCTGAAGGGCTCAGCCATGGGCAGCAGGGTGGGAGGCGAGGGCAGCCGGACAATAAAAGCCCCATGAGAGCAATGGCTTCTGGTGGTCTCTTTTCTGCCGGCGTGGGGAGGGTGGGGCTCGGCTCTCGTACAGCCCAAATCACTTGTCTCTGCTTCTGTCTGCCTCCCCTGGACTCCCAAGTGCCATCCCGAGGTTCTGTGCCCTGCACTCACTGAGCAGTGGGCCCAGAAAGGAAATAAATCATTTTGGCAGTGCTGCCCCAGGGCTGGGTACATCTCATCTGCCTGACCCTGGGGGGAGGCACAAGGAGACAAGCAGAAAACCTGCATCTCAAACATGCTGAAATGGGATATTTTTGCTTTTTCTAAACAAAATGTTGCATTTTGAGGAGATAGAATAAAATGCCTGGTGCTATTTACATTTCTCTCCCACATTTTCCCCTGGCTCTGCTTACCGAATTTGACCTAAATCCACAAATCATTTCAGTTTCCATCTTCTCAGCCCATCACAATCTGTCCAAAACACTTCAACCATCCCTGATCCAGACTTCCAATTTTAGGACAAAGCAATTGCAATCTTGCTTGGCCACCCTGTCACCAGGGGTAACTCTAATGTTAATTAAATCCAGTGAGAAATGAAACAATATCTTTGCCAACAAAAGTGAGTTTGCAACAGATTTAGCCAATTGGAAAAGTTTCTTCCCCCTTTCCCTCAGGAAACATGAGAGGAAGTGGGCAGCTCATTTAAAAGGTATTAGCAGAAATTAATTAAATTGCTAAATTATTCTGGAATACCTGTGGAATTACATATTACATCTCTGCTGGTTCCTTTAAAATACATGTGATTAGCATTAGTGCAATTAACTCCCAAGTATCTAATAACATTCTGCTGCTCTTTTAGGTAATTAATTTATGAGCCTTTGTTTTATAGTTCTTCCCCAGAACTGAGCAGAGGAAAACCTTCAGGGAAACTTCTGGCATGGTGCTGTGAACCCTGGAGGCTGGAATGTGCCAGCTGAGGCAGCGCCTGGCATCAGACTGAGCCCTGATGCAGAGATCTTTTATCCTGGGGATAAAATCAGTGATCTGGTGCATTACTCTGATGGGTTGGGTGTATTTTTGTTCTGTTTGTCCCCGACAGCTAGCCCTGCATCCTTGCCTTATACTGGAATACATCAATAGTCCCTTGAGCCTGAGCTATTGCTAAGGTTGTCTGGGGGTGTCTGGCTGAACTCCCTGAAAGCAGCCTGCCTGGGAAGGGAATATTGCTTTATCCTCCTGGTCCCATAACTTCCAAGAGGATTTAGGAGTCCCCACAAGTTTTTCTTGAGGTTGCAAGACCCTGCTTTCTACTGCTGACGTGAGGTTTTTGTCTGTGGAGTGGGGTGTCCCTGTGGAAGGACGTCATTAGGAGCTGGAGCAGGAGCAGAGGTCCTGGATGCTCACCTGGGATGCACCACATCATTCCCAAAAAGCCACAGGTGCTCGAAGCCCACTCTGGTGAAGGGAGAGAGAAGAGGCTTTTCTCATCTTCTGCTGTTCATCGTCGCGTTCTGCCTCAGCAGCACATCCCTTTCTCTTCAAAGCCACCTTGAAGCAGGAATGACGAGCTGGCCTCTCCTCAGCAGCAGCCAGAGGAAAGCTGGGGAGCAGGGAGGGGTGATCTGGCTGGGAAAGGCAGAGAGCCAGAGCAGCCAGCAAAGCCCCTGGGGCATGGCCACAGCACAGCAATGGCAGCACTGCAGCTGATCTGCCCGCTGCTTGCTGAGGGTGATGCCTCTTCCCCAAAATCCAGCCCTGCCAGCACAGACAAGACTCTTGGGAGCCATGCAGGAGGGTTGGCACAGTGGCTGGGCAGGGTGGCTGGCTCCCAGCCTGGCTGGTTGTTGGGGGAAGGTGATATTTTGCTGTGGGCAATGAGAACTAAAGGAAACAATTAAAACTAAATAGGCTGGAACTGAGCAATTTTTCAGCTTTCCGCTGAGAAGGAAAAGAGCTCCTTTGTGAACAGTGAAATCCTCCTGGCAAGCTGTAGAATCCCACCTGATGAAGCAAAAGTTGCACAATTACAATGCAGAAGGGATCCCTGTGCTCCAGTGGAAAATCCATGGGGGTGTTGTCCCTTGCTGCCATCAGAACCAGGCCACGAGCACAAGGCAGCCGTGCCCTTGGCAGGGGAGGCTGGTGAAGCTTTGGGGGCAAGGTCGGTGCTGAGGCTGCTCCTCCTTCCAAGTGACAACCCCTGGAGGAGCCAGGTCCACCCTGTAGCCTGTAGGGCACATAAGAGTCATGGCACCCTCTGGAGATGCAAAACCTGAGCCCCCTGAGCCTTTCTGTCAGGCTGGACCCAAGGGTCAGCCAGCTGGCCAGTCCTGCAGAGGCACAGAGGAGCTGATACTGCCTGCTGGGCAGTGGCAAAGGGCTGAGCTGTACCCACTCGTGTCCCAGGCATTGTGGCACTGCAAAACAGGAGCTCCCAAGTGGAGCAAAGCGAGCCATGCAGGCTGTTAGAATGCATCTAGCCCAGACAAGCCCGCCTGGGTCCTGTCCTGCTGTGGAAAATTTGGAAGTGGCAGCAAAGGGTTTGTTATAAATGAAAATTTGTCCAGCCAAATTAATATGAAAAATAAAATATTTATTTTACAATCAAATTCTATCTAGCCAGCCACAAGGAAAGAACAGAGCCGAGCCCGGGGTCGGCGCTGGGTGTGCAACAAGGAGTCAGCCTCAGCAGAGGTTTTCCTCCATGCCCACACACCTCCATCCTGGCACAAGCGGTTTTTATAGGGAAAATTCCGCCTGAGGCCAAGATTTCAGCAATCAGTCTTTTCTTCTATTCAGAGTCCATATGTTAATAAGATTTTCCTTTTTGGTGATGAGGGAGAACAAATCACTGTCCGGAGTTTGTTGAATCCTTTGATGAAATTTACATGTATCTGCCTGAGGATTTCCATGATATCCATCTCGGGTCGCTCACACGATGATCAGCACCTGGGGTTTCTGTATCTCCCCAGACATGGCCCATCTCCCATCTCCTGGCGAGCTGTACCTTCTTACTTGTAAATCAGTTTCCAATCTACACCCGGTCTCACCTGCGCCTGTGAGGGGGGGGAATCCTAATACAAACGTGTATACTCTAACAAATATTCAATATCACATATATCATATTAGAAATGGCGCAAATTATATCTACTACACATAACAGGTTGAACTTCTGCATGCCTGACGCTGTCTGTGAAAAGAGCCCAACCCCAACTCCTGTGCTCCAACACCTCGTGGTAGCTGCCTCGGGCTCCAGCACAGGTTTTTACCCTCCTGGAGGCCGCCTCTTGCTGCTGCGTTCAGCTGTGTGCTGGGGGGTGCTGAGTGGGGCTCCAGCCTGTAGCTTTTCTTTCCCAAGGTCCTGGCAGCCCTGCTTGTCCTCACTTCCTCTTGGCAGGTGAAAATCTCTGATGCTGCAGCCTCTGTGCAAGGCTGGAGGAGGGTTCAGTCACGGAGCTGAAAGCGCCCCACGGTTCTGCCACCAGATTCTCCATGTGAGCACAGCTCTGGTGACTTTGCAGGGCCCAAAAGGGCTTTGAAGGATTTGGGAGAAGAAATCCACCCACCAGGGCCATGCAGCACGAGGGTGGACTCTCTGCAGTGCCACCCAGTGCAGCTCCATGCCCTGTCTCCTGGAACCATACATAAATAAGGATTATTTTTTTCCTTTGGATCAGTCTGGGTTAATTCGACGAGCAAAGACAGACTGAACTTTCATGCCAAGAACTGTTTTCTTCCCGCCTGCCCTATATTTGCTTCACTTTTTTAGCTCAGGCCAATGCTGCAATAGAAAACACAGGGCAGGTGTCGAGAGCACCTTGACAGCAATTCCCATCCTCCTAAATTCCTCCTGCCCAGGAACTGCGGCAAAAGTTTGAGTTTCACACCAATTTAATCCTAACTGAACGCTCTGAATTCTTCAGTTGTGTCTGGTTTTTAGGTCTGGCATCCTTGAAGAACAATATCCTTTTAAATTGCTGATTTGGGCTAGCTCATTTAATTTCATCTTAATAAAAATTTTATGTGTTTTGACATATTCAGTGTCTCGAGTGTATTGACACAGCAGCCTGAAGAAGCATTATGACCATAATGGCTCAAAAAGCATTAAAAAGACCCTGGCAAGGTTTATTGATTGCCCTCTTTTACAGCTGCTTGAAGACAAAGACCAGTCATAGGGAAGAGGAATGCTGTGTTTTGTTTTTATGTGAGCTTCCCGATGTTACAACAGAAGGCATTTGCAAACAAATGTCTGCAAGCTCTTCATCAAGACAAGAAGAAGCAGCAGTCATGTTGTTGGAATGTTTGGAGTTTAAAGGAAAAATCCTGCAGATAGCAGAAAAGTCACCTCCAAGGAAGGAATGTCAAAGTGTAAATAAATAAGTAAGTGATGAAGATGCCCAGGTCCTTCCCACTGGGGTATCCCAGAGGAAAAGCCCTCATGCATCACTGGGGACTTGCTGTAGCATGTTGATGGAAAGGATAAATCATCTGCCAAAATCTGTCCTCAGAGCTGTGGGTTTCCCCGTGGACTCTTCCCAGCTAATGTACCCCAATGTCTGTGTGAAACACAAATGCATTGTGGGCATTTTATGCTGAGTGCAACAGAGATAAAAATTAGTAGAATGATCCATTGGCAAGGTAGGAATGTGCTCGAGATGGGAGAGTAGAATAATTATCTCCTGATGACCAACATTTGCATACTGAGATGCACCCAAGAGGCCCTTGCACAGACACCTGCCCAATTGCTGATGGGAGGATTTTTTTAAAGACAGTTTACTAATTGCAACCCATTTCCTCCAGCCCAGGCAGGGGTACCTTCTGTTCAACTGAGCCGTGCACCGAAGAAGAAAAGCAACTGCAGCAAGGAGCATCAGCTCTGCCTGTGTGGCCAGGAGATGTGCTGCTGGGTGCTGCCAGGTTGGCTCTGCCTTCTGACCAGCCCAGCGTGCAGGTGCACGAGCCAGAGCTTGGCTTCTGGGTAGGGCACAGGGGAGGAGCAAGAAGCTTCCTTGTGTCCCAAGAAGCAAGTGA